TTTATAGACGTCTACTTCCGGTGTGAAGTGTGTGTTATTCTTCTGCGCATTCGGGTCGCTTCGTGACGTCTTTCGCAGCAAAGTCTGACTGAGGTTGCGTTAGATCGGTATCATGAACCGCCACGCAAAAACAAAAAAAGTCAGATTTTAGCACACACACAAAAAAAAATCGTAATTGAGTGTCAAGACCTGACGTGTGAACGCACCTTCATAATAAGTAATAATATATAAAATTTTTGTTACGCTCAAAAATGTTTAAAATTCAGAATAGGTGTTGAATATCAACATATTTTCATCAAGAAAGACAAATAACAGAACGTCGTTTGGGACAGAGGCATGAAACTTTATGCGTATTTTGTGATGCTGTTTGTATTAAGTAAGTATATTTTAAAAATCACAATACATTCAGGCTTGATTTTGTCGTGATCATTAAAGTTGTATGTTGTATGATAATTTCTCCCAGGAGAAAGAACGGTTGACGATGAAACGTTGGAAGTGCTTCATTCAAAGGTGAGGTCTTTACTGTGTTGCAAAAGCTGTATCCTGCTTTCCCTTTTTGGTCATTTACGGTACATTTTGCGTGGTTAGCACATCCAAGTTTCCTGCAGCTGTACAGTACAATAGAGGAGCAGCGCAAAGGCCAAATTAGTCATGACATCAAAGTTACAGCCATGCACAAAGTTAAAAAAAAACATAGCAGTGAGCTTCTTCAGGCAACATTTTAGTGTATATCTATTTCAAGAATGTTTTAAAAATTGAAACAGTTTGCATTTTCGGCTTCTGCTCCATTCCACGCAACAAGCTTATCTGACCCCTCCAATCTGCCACTGGTCTACATGTTGATCTGTGTAAAGTCCCTGGTTGTTTCAGTCCTAATCCTCCAGTTACTACGCCCAGAGTCCCGTCCACACCCAGGTGCTTCACATCCGTGGAGGAAAACCAGGGTGACAGCATTCTCTTTCTTTTCTTATTTGAGAACACTGAATTTCTGCGTAATGCTCCGAGGCGCTGCCAACATTTTCAACCTCAAGACGCTCCTGGCGTACAGTGTGATCGCTTGATTGGTTTTAACATGCCAAACCACAAGATAATTCTCTAGGAACAAGATGCAAATTCAAAAGAAGCTGGTAGTAAGAGGAAGCCAGCACCAGGTGCGAGCGCGTCTTCAGTGAACTTTATTGTCTTTGCTGCGCTCAGCATTTTCGTCCTGGGCAGATAAGCACTTCTTAGAAGCTGCTCACAGTCCGCAGGTTCTTAGAAACCAAAGTTGGTATGTGTGCATGACAAAAGATGTTGTGTTTTAAAGGTATGTTATATATTTGCGTTGAGGAACGTTTGTGCAGCCCTTTAACATTTCCATCTTGTCAAACTTCAATAAATTTTATGTGACAGCGAGACGCAAATTTTCATAACTGTGTGTAATTTTGCAAACAAACTGTGATAGTTCCTCTTCCCCCTCTCTTAATTCTGGTATGAAATAGTACAACAATCTTGAACTTCACATATGCATTCGAACTGCACCAGCGTTCACTTCGCCCAAACCGAGACCTGGGTTGCGCATTCACAACTCCCCAAACAAACTGGACTTTCAAAGCAAGTGAACTAGAATCTGATTGGAGCGAACTCAACAGTGCTGCTGTGAAGAAAGAGGTTTGCCACAATCCATTTGGTGGACACATTCAAGGCCAGATTTACATTGGACGTGGGCCGCTTCACTTTACAGTCAAGCGACAGAGATGCTGGAAGCCGAGAGTTCGAGTCCCGGATTTCTTTCTTTTTTTTTTCTGTGAGCAAGCACTTCAAAAAATCCATGGTTTCGACTTTTGAAAGGTTTTCACAATAGTTTCTAGAAAATGAGTCACAACGGCTGCGTTCTGTCATACCTAAGAGTCCAGTCATGTTTACCTTTCCCCCTCCCCGTTGCCTAACATCTAAACTTCTGAGCTTGGAAAACATTAGCCACCATGGTGGCTTTGCAATGTGACACAGTATTTTCATAAATGGTGGAGATCCCCCCCTGAACACCACCGCCACCACCTGACACACTCTAGAAATGCCTCCCACGCCTTCTCTCAATGCGGCGCGGGTGGGGGTCTTTCTGGCTTTCAAGATGTTAACAGCATAAAGTAGGATCTGATACGTTATGAATGAGACAAAGTAAGAACAGAAGATGTGAGGGAGAGACAATGAGTTGAGGTGGGCAAGAGAACAGGAAGGGGGGAAGGAAGGTGAGGTATCAGCCACATAGAGGCTTCCTTACCCTGAAGGGGTAATAATTGTGGGGGTGGGGAGAGGCTTTATGTCTCTCTTATGAAATATCAAAAAAGCAGTTTGTGTTTAAACCCATGAACTAAATCACTGGGGTTAATAATAGATACTGCATGTAAACTAGTCCTTTTACATAAATGCAAAATTCGTTCTGCATCAATTCAAATCTGAGGAATGATCAAGCAACTCAACACAAAACCATCAAAAGCTGTGTTAGCATAAACATAAAGTTGCGCTAATTAAAATTACAACAGTAAATCACTTTTGCAATTGGAAACAAAGTTTTTTGGGGGGAGAAAACAAATAACATGTTTTTTGATAAAACGTTTCAACAGCCAGGTGTTACTAGGAAGGAAACAACAAGCTTTAAGCAGGAGGTTGATGGTTTGTGTTTTGGCGGGGTTTTTTTTGGACAATGTGCATAGAAAGTTGTGTGCTGTTCAAACTCTTCTGCAAAACCGCCGACTACGATTTCCACAAAACGTTACATGCTCCTAAGTGGAAGGGGCTTGGCTCTCCAACACCTGAATGAGACGCCGACGTCTCCTCTGATGGCTGGATTATAAATAATTCACTTATTTAACGGTGTACATCCGTCGCTGCCATGATTTTTGATAACTCATCGTTTGAACAAGCTCATTCAATTTTAGTTTAATTGTCTATTTAATGGAAGCAACACATTTGCAAACTTGTTTTTTCGACTTCGGCAGAATACCGACAAAGGCCTGTGCGCGTTTGCGTTGGAAGAGCAGCTAGTTGATTGTAACCCGGTCTGCACAACATGTAAAAGTGTAAAACAGGAACTTGAGATTATAACCAGCAGTCGGGGGACTTTTTGCCTGGAAGTGATCGTCAGAACCTTTTAGCCGCCATTAATCCGCAGGTGCGTCGCCGAGTCCAGATTCTGCTTCTGCCGATCGCACATCCTGCCACCTCACCGATCTCCCTCGTGAGTCATTATCCGAATAAGTAAGTAACTTATGAAGAGGAAGCCGACATCCTCTATGTGGCTGCCATCTATCTGCAAAGGGAAAATCCCTCATGACACACAGAGTGGACATTAGAGCAAAGGAAGAAGGAAATGGGATTTGGGATTTTACCAAGACATGAGTAATTTCTCCTCCCTTGCAGATGACCCTTTGATATCATCTACACTGACCAGCAGCCATATGCAGTCATCTATAACCTTTTATTTATCCATGAATAACTCTAGAACAAAATGAAAACTTCTTCTCATGCCAGCTTTAAAGCATAAGCATGACTATTTACAGTATTTGTTTACGATGTCGCCTTGTAGTTGTGCAGGACCTTACTTAGACCTCAACGTTTTGCGCTCGCAGGAAATTGTAACACGCATCACTTCCTCACTTGGGTTCCCACAGACTCTTGCGAATACACGATTGCATACTTGCAGGGCCGACACATGTGCATGCAATTGGTATTTTTATCCAGCCATCGCTGGGAGCGACAAATGAAAAACAATCGAAAAGGACGACATGTCAATCCACAGTCTCCGTGAGGTCGAACCGTTTCTGCATGAGAGTTAGTTGAGATCAAATGTCAGCGTGTGGGAACCATGTGACTTTTTTTTTTCCACTTGTTGGCCCTGAAGTACTCACTGGAGGAACACTGGGGCTTTTTTTGCTTTTTTTTTTTGAAGACCTTTAGCCCCATATATGTCTTCTGGTCTGAACCACTCTGTTAGTAAATTGTAAAAAGTCACAGCAGTTGCAGCTCACAAACAGGAACCTTTGTTTCCTCTGCAGCAATAAGCATGGCATTGCAGCACTGCAGGTTGTTCAGAAGATAAACTGGGTCGCTAAACACCAAAACGATGTGCGTCGGTTTAAAAATGACTGCAGTTCATGTGGGATTTATCTGCTAAAGCAGCTTTTTAACGTTACTTCGTGTGGATTTCGTTCCTTTGTGACATTTTTCAGATTTTCCCTTGCAACCTTGCAACTTTACTCCTGCCAGAGACTCACTGAGAGCCATTTCGATTCACTCCGTCACATGCACTCTCTTCTCCACCATAATCTGTCTTGTTTCTTCCACCCCCTACCAAAGATTACAACATCATCTGCAAATATCATAATCTTTCAGACTGCCCTACTTCATCCAGCAGCCTTACAGTGTCAGTGTTATTGCAGGCCCCTATAGTTCCATTTTATAGCACACTCAAGTAACTGCGTTCCCTTCAGTTGTTATAAAAATGCTATGCGTTAAAATATGTCTTGGAAGAAATTTTAATTTGCAACTTAATGCCTTGAAATTGGGTGTCTGTCTCTTTAATTTAATGGTCATTGACAAAAACGAAAAATATAAAATCAGGCAAAAGAAACATTTTCCTTCAATAGGACAAACTTACGTAACCTTAACAAAAACTGCAGGTGTGTGTCTGAGTCTAGTGAATCTTTGGCAAAAAACGTGTTTGTTGTTCTTTCAATGAAGTTACTCAAGTAGAAAAGTAAAAAGCCTAGTAAAAATATTCTTAAACGCACATTTAAAAAATAATAATAAAAAGTGACGCAAGTAAATGCAGCTAGTTACCAAGCAACTCCTGCTATCCATAAATATATTTTATAAATTAAACAAATTTGTTAATATGCTAAAAATTCCCTTTCATGAGTGAAATCACATTTTCATCGTAGTTCATCGATTTTGTTCTCCTTCTACTAAACCTACTTACTGAATCGCCATGGTAACGCGACAAGACCTCTCACACCGGATGAAGTTCTCGGCCTCTCCAATCCGTTTCCGGGTGGAAATATTTGCTCATGAAGTAAAAGTCTTGCTTGCAAATTCATTTGGGGGGAAACGAACTTTCCGGCCAAAAACTTTCAGCTCACAGAATGTCCCGAGGCTCGAGTGCAGGGTTCGACCGACACATCACCATCTTTTCCCCCGAGGGGAGGCTCTATCAAGTCGGTCAGTATTCTGGAGCTGCTCACGTTGACAGGAGCCGCTTCGTTGGCTCATTTGTTTGCTAGCTAGCTAAATGCTCTGTCATGGTTCGCTGAGGCCGGCTCCTGTTTGACACCCGCCAAAGCGAAAGTAGAGTCACTTATAAATTTGAAACATCAGGTTAGAATGTCCGTGCTGTTACATTTGCGTTTCCTTTTATGACGCTAATATGTAACAAAGTAGCAAATGTTAAGAGCGAGCCTGCTGCTAGGCTAATTAGCATAGTTAGCATTACACTTTACATAGCTTGTTTACGAGAGACAGCCTTCATTTGTGTTTATTATTTGTATTTCGAAAGAGTTTGTTCATTTTATTGTACTATTTTCATTCTGTGAAAAAAACGTGAGACGTTTATTATACAGTAGTTAAAGATCTGAATCACCCTTTCACCTCTGAAGCCTGTCATGGTTCAGGTTTTCAGCTGAATGAAAATCTTTCACTGCATTTTCTTTTCTTCATCTTTTTCAGAATATGCTTTCAAGGCTATAAACCAGGGCGGCTTAACGTCGGTAGCGGTCCGAGGGAAGGACTGTGCAGTTGTTGTAACACAAAAAAAAGTACCGGTGAGTCAAGGGATGCTTGCATTTTTCCAGATCCATAAAAGATGTTGACCTTTTTCCTCACTGCTCTGGTTCTTTTTTCGACAGGATAAGCTTCTGGATGCCTCCACAGTGACCCACCTCTTCAGAATAACAGACAACATTGGATGTGTAATGTCTGGGATGACGGGTGAGGAAGGTCTACTGCGTAGAGGCAGAAGGTGTATACAATACTGAAAAGCTGAGCTTAGCATGAGTAGCAATGAGTTTTTTAAAGCAACAACATACTCTCATGTCAATAACCAATTGACATGCACATAACAACCACTTATGTGCATTGATGTAGAGATGTAGAGTCAGCATACAAAAACTTACTATCTTGTCTAATTATCTTTTCACATTCCACCCTTGTTTGTTAAATTGAAGTTAAAAGCAGAAATCCTCAACATTTGCTGTATTAGAGAGACAATTTTACTAAATTGTTTAGTTTTCCTCTTTAAAATAAGACTTGGGTTACTCAGTTACTGAAACGCATCCTTATCTAATACATGAAGCTAACAGATTGGCAAGAAATCTGGGGACAATTGGCACAATTGAAACATAGAATTTTACAAGACCTCACTGAGCTGTTGTGTTGCATACAATTGACTTTCTGCGCCAATTGTTTTATGTATGTTGACATGTTGTAGGATTTGTAACATGTAAAGGAAACATGAGGCAGGCAAATATTTTGTTAAATGTGTTTTTATGCCTCTTCTGAGACATGTAGACTAGCAGGGACATGCAATTATGACTAGACTGTCATTTGTCCTGGCTGTTTAACTGAGAGTTTGTATCTAATTAGCTGCAGGATTTTGATGAGTCACTTTCTGCCTTTATTATGGGCTCTGCTGAAATTCCTCATTCTGAACCGTCCCTTTGGTTGCGGAACCCCAGAAAAGATTGTTCATCCAGTCTAATTAATACAGATCATGCCCATAACCACAAATTTGGAGTCGGATTAACTTGACAATATTACAGACACAGACATTTATTTAGGAGACTGCATAGGAAGAAAACAAATAATTAGATGCATTGGATACACGTGGCAGTATTTGCATATGTTTTATACATTTTAGCAATTCAGACCAAGATTGTTCAAACTGAATAGATGAATAAAGACGTTGAGCTGTTGTACAAGAAACCGTACGACTCACCAAAGTGTATGTAGTTATGAGCTTCTCATTATTTAAAACAGGAAAGCAACAATTCCTAAATCTTAAATTTTATTATACTTTTGTCCTCTTTTTTTTAGTTTTTGAACTGGGACACAAGTCTGTTTTGTACCTGTATGAGCTGGTATGAAGATAAAATCATTAAAGCAAAAAGTACTAATGGGCCAAGAAAGAAACAAAAAAAATCATCAAGTCAAGTAGATATGATTATCCAAGGTTTTGTTTTGTTTTTTATTTGGAGGAAAGATGTATTTTAAGAATTTTGCACGTTTTCTGTTACAGCGAGTTTTTAAATTCTTTTACGCTTGGTGGAACAAATTTCAACAGTCATTCCAACAGGATTTGGATCGCTTACTTTCAAATCGTTTGCCATATTTTGCTGAGTTAAATACATTCAATAAAAGTTGATTGATCAAGTGCAGCAAAGTCGACTTTTCTGTAACAGACGTGGTTCTGCTTGTTACACAAGTTTGCTTGCAAAAAGACGGGCAAGCTGTCTATGTGCTGTGTTTCACATTTTCCTTTGTAGAAACATAACTTTCTACAAAGTGTTTATTGATTTAAACACATGTATTTTTTTAGCCTGTTTCAAAGTGAAAACTGGAAGCGAATCATGTTTTGTCGTCGTCGCCTCCCTACAGCTGACAGCAGGTCTCAGGTCCAGCGAGCTCGCTACGAGGCGGCCAACTGGCAGTACAAGTACGGCTACGAGATCCCGGTGGACATGCTGTGCAAGAGGATCGCCGACATCTCGCAGGTCTACACGCAGAACGCAGAGATGCGACCGCTGGGCTGCTGTGAGTTGACGCCCCGCGTCCCGTGTTTTTAGCCCTCGGAAGCTTCGCCTGGGAGTGAACGCGGGTGCGTGTCCATCTGATCGGCAGGTATGATCGTGATTGGCGTGGACGAGGAGTACGGCCCGCAGGTGTACAAGTGTGACCCGGCCGGCTACTACTGCGGCTTCAAGGCCACCGCCGCCGGAGTGAAGCAGACAGAAGCCACCAGCTTCTTGGAGAAGAAAGTAAAAAAGAAACTGGACTGGACCTTCGAGCAAACGATCGAGGTGAGGTTGTTCTGCCGACGTTGATGAGAAATCAACCTGAATGTGAAAGCAGCTTGCGTAACCTGTGGTGGTTTCCTGCCTTCCTCTAACACATTATATAACCATCATGTTCTGTTTACAAGAAGCAGAAAAGCACTAAAGGTGTAATAAATCCACATTACTGTGATAAAGTGAAACCTGACTCTGCTCTGTCTCCTAAACTTGTTTTTTTTTTCTCTCTCTCTCTCTCTACTTCAGACGGCCATTTCTTGTCTTTCGACTGTCCTTTCCATTGACTTCAAGCCCTCTGAGCTGGAGGTGGGCGTTGTGACAACACAGGAGCCCAAGTTCAGGTACATTTTCAGCAGATGATTGCTTCTCAGAAGTGAAAGCAGAGCAGCTCAGAGGCATTACTGTCAGGCTTTTTTTTTTTTTTTTTTTTGAAGAGTGTATTTTCTCATCAGTGTTGCACAAGTATGAATTCACTAGAGATGAAAATCTTTCAATGTAGCGATTCTTAGGGTCACAATTTGATTCAGAAGCTATTTTTAATTCAGAAACTAGTTTTTTCTATTTACGTTATGTGGAAGGAAAAGACAAGATAAACAGAACATTTACTGAAAATATTTCTATCATAAAGTTTCATACTGCATCAAATCTATATTTACACAAATATAGGTTTTTGCATAAAACTGTCATTTAAATTCCCAGTGTTAGGTTAGTTTAGCTGCCTGGTCTTTTATTAAATAGAAAATAGTATCAAGGAATTATTCAAAATGTAATCTGACAAAAAAATTATACACACTAAAACTGATCTTTGAGCATTTTGAATCGATTCAGAAATATTAGGAATAAGAATTGCTTTTTATTTGACTTTTTTCCATAAACCTTTCTATATTGTAATTGGGGAACTAAAAGAAAAGGAAGTCATAATTTCACACACAAAAAAATTCAATTTAAAAATCTGAAATGTGTGGCATGCACCTGTTCTCAATCTTATCCTCCTGAAGTTTGCATTCAGAATTCATAAATGTTTAATCTCATGACAACTTCTTGAGCTTCTGAACTGTGAAAAGTGGCGGTGGCAGCATAATGCTGTGGGGTTGCTCTCCTTCAGTAGGGTCAGGAAAGCGCAATGGAGGTAAATGTGGGTCATACCTGCAAGAAAACCCTTTAGAGCAGGGGTGGGCACTCCTGGTCCTCGAGGGCCGGTCTCCTGCAGCTTTTAGATGCATCTCTACTTCAACAGACCTGAGTCAAATGACCTCATGAGTCAAATGAGGTCATTAGCAGGATTCTGGAGAACTTGACTGCATTTAGGAGGTGATTCAGTTATTGGATTCAGGTGTTTTGGACAAGGGAGACGTCTCTTGTCTCCTGCACGTCTCCTGCAAAAGAGTTGCAGGACACTGGACCTCGAGGAGCAGGAGTGCCCACCCCTGCTTTAGAGGCCTGATCAGACTTAAGACAAGGGTGGAGAATCAGCCTTTGAACATGAATCAAGGCATATTTATGTCTAAGAACGGCCTAGTCAAAGTCGAGACCTAAGTCCATTTGGAAAGTCTTGGAGCTTAAACTGCAGCCAGAGATGTTTCTATGAACACAAACTCAGGTTTTCAGTTGAAAGCCATGTGTCACTTTTCTTCTGATTTTTGACCATGAGTTACTTTGAGTAGGCCAATTTTGTGAGATTCATGGTTGTAATTCATCAGCGTTCAAGGGTCATAAACGCAACCAAACGCGCCAGAGGCAGCGTTAATCTGGGAATTCCACAAACATCACCGACCGTCTTTCTGCCGTCGTTTCCTGCAGGATCCTGACAGAGTCTGAAGTAGACGCCCACCTCATGTCGTTGGCAGAGCGGGACTGAGCGGGCGCCGAGACGCCACCTGTTTGACTGACGCAGAGCATGATGGGAAGTGCAGTTTTCCCAGATGGAAGATGGTGTTTATCTTTGTTTGCTGTACATTTATCCTCTGTCCCCCTCTCCTCCATATGATTTCATTCAACAATAAAACAAGTTTTTGGAGTAAAACGAATTTTTTTTGGTCCTATTTGCTGTTCAGCGTGCGAGGCTGTATTTAATGTACAGCCTTTTGTTTGACAGAAGTGGAAACGGTTATGGGAACATGCACCTGGGCTTCCTGTTGTGGCTCTAGTCATATGACTCTGAAGTTATTTTACTACACTGTCACTGATTTGACCTCGTTTTTTTTTTTTTTTTTTTCTGAAGTACATAAGATCATGACAAAAGTAGCTCAGTTACAACGAACAGGAAACGTTCAGCTGAAATAGGGGAAAGTTTCTCTTATTAGCTCTGAATGGTTTTGTGTAACTTGACACACGGTCTTCTTTTCAACTGAGAAGCTTCAGGATTCTTATCAATGAGCGCATCCATCTCGGCTCATTCTTTGGCTATTCTGTCACCGGGATTCATCAGAAATTCAAACATGCGTCAACTCTCATGACATCCTCTTTTCTCTTGCACTCTCTGTGGCTGCATTTCCATTTCGGAGCAGGATTATGAAATTTATCCCAGGAAGCGACCAGCACCAGGAACCTGCGGGAAATTCTCCATTTAAGATATTCCAGCTTATCTCGAACAGGAAGTCTTGTACTTCCCAGACTTGGAACAGTTTCCTTGTTATGATACAGCAGTAAATCGACTGGGCTTTCTTCCCCACTCCTGCCCCAAAAAACGGAACATTTCCTTGTCGCTGTGACTACCCAGCGGTGCCAGTTCCACGGCTGCCGCTCAGAGTGGAATGTTTGCGAGCACGCCGTGTTCCTGCAGCCCAGGGACTTTTCAGCGCGGTGACTCAGAGACCCGCTGATCTCGCCCAACAAAGGAAATCCCATACTGTTCCTACCGGGGCTTACTCTGATCTTTTTCTCTCTCTCTCTCTCACAATAAACCACTCTGCCTTGTGGTTTATTGTGAGAAATGACGCTTCTTACAAAGTTTTGGAAAGACCAGCGAAGAGTCATCCTTCATATGGAGGGAAATTCAACTATTGGCTCAGCTGAGGAAAAACCACGAGTCACAACTGCTCATGTTCATAGACTTTTTTTTATTATTTTACTTTCAAGATAATAGTGTTTAAATTCACACTTGGTACAAAAATAGGATCTCTGTATTTACAATATGTTACATAGCTTGCATTTATACAATATATTTATATTTTTACACAGTTGTGGACCGTATGGAGGTCTCGCCGGCGTTGTTTTTTTTCAGCAATCTTGACCGTACAACCATCTTCGTTCCTCGTTTTGCAGTCTCGGGGGCCAGCACCCACGTGCCTGAACCGTTGGCTATAGAGGAGGGAGCGGGACATGGATAGGGGGAGCATGACCGGCTTCTGCACCCCGTTGGGAGCCGTTCTTCGGCAAACCCGTTAGCAGCTTGACATTCGCACCATGAGCGATGAGGGTCCCTTTTCTACTTCCCAAACACTATGTCGTCATAGACCTAAAGAAATGAAAGACAAGAACTCGTGAGAAATCCTGCTTCACTTTGGGAGATCGTACTATCAGAGAAGTGTTATCTCAGCGGCGCCAATCCCATAAAGACGCTTACCTCATCCTCCAGCAACTCCAGGTCTTCCATGTCGCTGTCGTCAGACTCGCTCTCAGGCAGCGCCCTCAGCTCCAGTGCCGTCCGCTCGTACAACTGGCAGCGGATCTCGTCGTTCTGCCGCCCGTACGTAAGGTGGTACGGCGTGAAGCCTCCGTAGTTCTGGCAGTTGACCTCTGCGCCCAGGTCAAGAAGGCATCGGACTAGCGTGGGGTTCTGCAGATCGACAGCCAAGTGAAGCGCTGTCCGTCCACTGCAGGGTTCCTGGGAGAAAACCGTAAAGGCCAACAGTTAGATCCGTGTTCAGGTAGCGGTTTCGGAAAGACGTTGTGGAGTTTCGTCTGGACCGAGACCTACCTGTTCGTTGATGTTCGCTCCCAGCTGAACGAGGCTTTCCACCAAGGAAACGTAGCCATTAATGGACGCCAAGTGGAGGCAGGTGTGTCCTGGGAAAGGCGGAAGAGAGGCTCTGTTAGGGACCCGACTTCGAACAAGTTCGATCGAGGTGCAACAACTCGCACAGATCAATGCTTACCACTGTAGTTGGGGATGGACAGGACGGAGGTGAGGTGGCGTTGGCAGTTCTGGGTGATGACGCCGAAGCACGCCATGGAGCCCCGTTTGCAGGCGATGTGGAGACCTGTGTTGCCGCTGTTGTCGGTCAGCAGCGGGTCAGCGCCGGCTTTCAGGAGACAGTCCACCAACTTGGGTTGCTCAGTGATCACTGCCAGGTGGAGGGCAGTCTGAGGAAGAGGACGCGGATTATTTAGGCGATGCATGAGACTTAAGGTTGAGGAACCTGTAAGGCTCCTGATCAGCTGCAAAGGGGATGGTGTTGATTGTTACCTGTCTTTGGTGGTTCTGTTTGTTGAGGAAAGAGTGACTTCTGGAGAGCTGGATCATCTGAAGGGCATGTTCAGTGGCTTCATGAATGATGGCCAAGTGGAGCAGCCTGTTGAGAGGAGGAGGGAGGGGGGGAGGATTTTTGTTAAAAGAGAGCTTTTAAAAAAAGAAACTACACACAGGGGGAAGTGGTTTCAGTCATATAAGAGAGAACAAAGGCTAAACAGCGGAGCGTTTCGCAACAGTGGAGTTTTGTCGGGTTATTTCCACCAGTTGTGGCTTGACACATCTGATGCTTTATCAGTTCCTGGCATCGGGCCAGGGACTTTCCTGAGTGCGCAGAGCGGACTTTAGCACCGCCCCAGACTGCGCGCACACCCCGCACTGCAAACACTCCTGAATGCCAGTTTGCACGCACTTTTTTATGTTTTTATTTTTTACTGCTGTTGTTCTTGTTGTTGTTTTGTCGTGGTTTATATGAAACTTGCCCTTTTGTGCAAACTCTAACCTTCCCACTGCGCTTTTCTTGTTTGTTTGTTGTTGTTTTTTAGAATTTGTTTTGCAGCTTTGATCAAATCGCATCCGCATTTACCAACTTCTCTTGTTTTTTGTTATTGTTTTTTTTGTTTGTTTTTTTTAAGCATTGCGCGCGAATTTCCGGAATAAAGAGGATTTTTTGTTTTGTTTTTTTCTTTTGCGCAGAATTGCAAAAAAAAAAAAAATTAAAAAAAAAAAAAAAAAAAAAACAAGCACAGTGCAAAACTCCACTTACGTGTCTCCGTCCTCGGTCACCGCGTCCCTCCACGGCTCCCACTCCTCCGTGTTCTCCTCCTGGCACCTCACGGCCAGGTCCTTAAAGTCCTCAATCATCAGGGCCTCGTCCTTTAAGGAGTCCACGCCGCTGTCCAGGCGGTCCTCCAGCATCTTCCCCTGCTTGCTGTCCAAGTTATAATCCATTTGTCCGTGCATCGCGTGAACGGCCATTGTTTTTGACTTTTTGTCGAGAGCGCGTCTGTCTGTCGGGTCCGTAGACTTGTGTGCGTCTGCGGCGGGGACGGCGGAGGCTTTTTGTGCGCTCTCCTGGGCGGAGCCACGGCGGGGGGATTTCCGACTGGCTTCGAAACGGCACAAGGGAAATCACATCGAAGCTGTGCTTTTGAGAGAAAAATCCCCCCCTCCTCACTCTCCAAAACGGAGACTCAGAATGAAAATCTGTAGTTTCCTATTAGACACCTATTTTCTACCTGCCTTGTGCGTTTTGTTTGTTTGTTTTTTTTTTTTTTGCTCGGGGGCCACATGAGCTTCAATGAGACTCGACGGGCATGAATGAGATGAGAGAGGAAGAGACAACCCCCCTCGTCTCCCCCTCTTGGAGAATTCCCTTCGTGCTCTGGGGGAAATTATGTTTCATAGCGGCTGACCAAAGTGCAGCGCAGCGTAAATTTTCCTCACTTGGCCAAGTTCGAAAAACGCGGCGACGAGTTTCCAGACTTTGAAAACTCACGCCGGCCATGGAGGAGCGATGGCCGGCTCAAAATGTGCACAATCAGTTCAGGGTCACCAAATCACCAAGTGGATTTTGTTGGCGTTTTTATTATTATTATTATTATTTTAACAGCAAAAAGAAAAGGAAGGAAAAAAAGGGTTATATTGGGATTGATTCCATGAGCAGTGCATGTTTTGGTAAATTGATTTTTTTTTTTTCATTTACACGCATGGAGAAAATCCATATTTCTGAATTTAACATTTTGTTTTGTACATAAAGTATTAAAATCATAAACATTATTTTTTTGTGTTTTTTTGTCATGAAATCAGATAAGCAAATAAAAATTATGATTTTTTTGTTTTGTTTCCTTCCTCGGCATAGGCGTAAATCCCAGGGGGGGGGGGGGGGGGGCATTGGGAGTCTGGAGCCCCCTCCCCCCCCCCCAAAAAACAACAAAAAAATTATAATAGAAGAAATGTTTGCGTTTAAACAATATCAATATGAAAAGGCAAAAGAAACAAAGGATGAATTAAATCTGCTATTTATCTCAGAAAAAGATTTATTTTTAGGTTCATTCGGTCCAACGTGTCGGACCAGCAATAGCAGTGATGGGGGGGGGGAGAGTGGCAGGCCCATGCTGAGAAATAATTGGAAAATATAGGTGAATTACTCCTAAATATTTCTTTAAATCCATGTGTTTTGGTAAGTTGATGAGAGGCTCCAGGACCATCTCCGTTAGCTTCTGTTTCACTTGGGAATATATATGATGTAACACAAGGGACCCATATTTGTTCTGATGAGGGAGTTCACATCCATATAAATGCATGGAGTTTCCTAAGCTCTGCTGAAGATTTAACGGGAACTCTATGGAACTAAGATTAACTCTTTCTTTTTTGTTGTTTTTAAAGACATTTTTCAAGTGGCATTGGCTTGAAACCAAAGGTGAATTGGTTGAAAAGCACCTCATGGCCACTGCTGCAAGTACAGCGGAGGATCTATGATGCTGTGGGACTTTTTCTCTTTTTCTCAAAGGCCCCAGGAACCTTTGTAGTGCATGGCATTGTGAAACCTTCGAAATGTCTGAAATTTTTTAAACCAAATTCTGGTAAAGCGTACAAGTAAAACAAACA